CCTTGTGTAATTTAAGAGGTTACATAAAAGTTCGCAACTGCATTATTCGTGGAGATGGATGCACCGAGTCACGTGCATCAGGATGCAGAGATGGCTGGAAAGGCAGATTCCAGAGCGACGGCGGGTGGAACAAGTGGGGCCGGCACGGAGAGGAGCATCACCGGGGCCGGAGTTGCTGGTGGGGCTGTGCCTGCAGCAGACGACGACATAAAGTCAGTGACCTCGTCAAGAACTTCAAGAGGTAGCATCTCAAGCACCAAGCTGACTCAAGCAAGGGTCAAGAGGGAGCTGGCGAAACTCAAACGGGAACAGTTGCTGAAAGAACAGAAACTGTTAAGAGAGGAGTATGAACTAAAGGAGAAACTAAAAATGCTTGAAATTGATCATGAAATTGAGAGTGCAAATGTAGAAGCTGCCATCTGGCAGCAAGAGGCCATGGATCAGGAATTAGGAATCAGGAATGATGCACAGGTGCATGTGACAAATAGAACAAATGATTGGTGTGAAAAGAGTCAGTTGTATGCAGCTAACCATCCAGTGGTACCTATACCTGCAAATTATTGTAATGATACAGATGCTGTATTCAACGTACCTGTAAATCATGGTATTGATAATGGTGCTGTTGTAAACATGCCTGCTACTCAGAATTCTGACAGTGCTCTAGTGGATATGCCTTTAAATAGGATTCATGACAATGCTGCAGTAAACGTGCCTATTGATCAGAGTCATGACAAGGCCGTGACGAACATGCCTGTAACTCAAAGTCACGACATTGGTATTACACATGATGTACATCCAAACCAAGGTTCACAGCAGGGTATTTGTGGTGGCACATGTACAAATTATCACTCCCAGATGTATATGGCCATGAACTTGCCAAAACCAGAGATAAAGAGTTTCTCAGGTGATCCAGTAGAGTATTGGGGATTCATAAATAACTTTGAGGTTAATATTGCATCCAAGGTTCAGACCGATAGGGAGAAACTAGCTTACCTTATCCAGTTCTGTAAAGGTAAGGCACATAATGCCATAGAAAACTGTGTTCTGTTAGAACCCTCTAAGGGTTACCAAGATGCAAAGAGCATATTGTATGACCAGTTTGGCAGGAATTACATTGTTGCAGGTGCCCATATAGCAAAGGTGGTTGATCGTCCTGCCATCAGAGCCGGTGAAGGTGGGAGTTTGTGGGACCTTGCACGAGACATGAGGCGATGTCAGATGACCCTTACACAGATGGGTTACACTGCAGACTTGAGTTCAACCGACAACTTGCTGAAGATACAGCGACTTCTGCCAGTCTATCTTCAATCCAAGTGGGCTACCGCCGCTCACAAGTTCATGGAGGGAAAGGTTGTACCCAACTTTTCTCACATGACCGACTTCGTTGAAGAACACGCCAAGGTCGGGAGCAATGCCTATGGCCAGAATATTGGAAGATCTGTTAAATCGCACACCAAGTTCGGTCCCCCCTCGAGCAAAGGGAACAGCAACAAGGTGTCATCTTTCACAGTGCAAGAGAGGACGGAGAACAGGCCCATGGGAACATGTCCATGCTGCATGGGAAAACATACAATTTACAAGTGTGACAAGTTTAAGGCCAAAAATCTAAAGGACAGGTTGGAGCTGGTGAGACAGAAAGGGTTGTGCTTCAACTGCCTCCAAGGAACCCACCTTGCAGTCAGATGTAATTCTAAATGGGTGTGCAGCCGAGAAGGATGTAAGAGAAAACATCATACACTCCTGCACGCAGAGACACAACCCAAGGAGGAATCAAGTAAGGCACCAGGGGCTAACCAGGAATCGGCGACAAGCCCACAGAAAGCAGAATGTAACTCTGTCGGATCAAGCAGGGGTGTTTGCCTGAGAGTACTTCCTGTTAAGATTTGGAATGAAGGTAAAGCTGTAACAACTTGGGCCCTCTTGGATGAGGGAAGCGACATCTCCCTGTGTGAAGAAGGGATTGCGGAGGAGCTTGGCCTTCAAGGGAACAAGAAGAAGTTCACTCTGACGACGGTGAACAGCGCAGAAGTTGAAACTCAAGGTATGGAAGTAAGCCTGTCCATTGAAGGGGCTCAAGGAGGACAAACCATAGAAATGCCAAAGGTGTGGACCGTGAAGAAACTACCTGTCTCACGCCACAGCATTCCTACGCAAGAAGATATCACCAGATGGTCTCACTTAGATGGGATATTTCTTCCGCCAACTGAAGATGCCAATGTGAGATTGCTCATTGGAAGTGACACGCCTGAGGCCTTTTGGGTACAAGAGGAAAGGAGAGGTGGCAAGAAGGAGCCGTATGCCGTCCGTTCACCTTTGGGGTGGACTCTGTTAGGACCAGTGTCTAGATTCAAGGGACGACATACCTTTGCAGTTAACCATGTCCATGCCGATGAGGAGCTGCATGACCAGGTGAGGCGCTTCTGGAAGTTGGATTTCGGCCTTGATGACAAAGACGAAAGGTTTGGAGAGTCAGTTGAAGATCGAAAGGCGAGAGCAGCCATGGAGGAGTCCGTAACCCTGGAGGATGGTCACTATCAGATGTGCTTACCTTGGCGGCAGTATCCACCATCCTTGCCAAACAACCGGCAATTGGCCGAAAAGAGGCTCCAATCTCTGAAGAGGAGATTGGAGAAGGATGAAGGCCTACACGAAGGCTATAAGTGTACTATTCAAGAGTACATCAGGAAGGGCCACGCTAAGGAAGTTGACGAAGGAATTAAGAAGGACGCCCAAACTGGGGCAGTCTGGTACCTCCCCCACCATCCTGTTACTCACCCCATGAAACCGAAGAAGGTCCGGGTGGTGTTTGATTGTGCTGCTACTTGCCGAGGTGTCTCCCTGAACAGCCAACTCCTGCAGGGGCCTGACTTCACCAACAAGTTGGTAGGAGTGTTAATGCGTTTTCGCCAGGAGAGAGTGGCCTTAGTAGCCGATGTGGAAGGAATGTTCCATCAGGTCAGGGTGTTACCACGAGATACTGATGTACTGCGGTTTCTGTGGTGGGAGGACGGAGACATGTCAAGAACCCCAAAGGAGTACAAGATGCTTGTTCACCTGTTTGGAGCTACCTCCTCACCTAGCTGTGCAGGCTTTGCACTACATAGAGCAGTGCAAGACAACAAACACGACTTCGATGTAGATGTGGCAAAGACTGTCCTCGAGAACTTCTACGTCGATGATTTGTTGACATCGGTTCCCACAACTATGGACGGGATGAGGCTGGTTCCCCAGTTGTGTGACATGTTGAG